CGGGGTCTGATTTTTTTCAATTCTTTATACATTCTCGATAGTAGACCCTTGTCTGAGGTACAGCTGATAAATTTTTTCCCACATTGTAGGTTGTCTCTTAGCTCTGTTGGTGGTTTCTCTTGCAGTGCAGAAGCTTTTTAATAAGATGAGATCCCAGTTGTTGATTCTTTGTGCTAGCTCCCATGCTAGTGAGGATTTGTTCATAAAGTCTTTTCCTATGCCAACATCTTCAAGAGTTCTACCTAACTTATCGTCCAGCAAGTTTAGTGTTTCTGTCTTAATATTTAGATCTTTAATCCACTTCGATCTTAGTTTAGTGCATGGTGATAGGTATGGATCTAGTTTTAATCTTTGGCAGGTTGAAATCCAGTTTTTCCAACACCATTTATTAAATAGGCTATTTTTCCTCCAATGAGGGTGGTTGGCTTCTTTGTCAAAGATGAAGTGGCTGAGTATCTCTGGAGTTGTTTCTGCATCTTCTAATCTATTCCACTGATCCTCAGGTCTGTTTCTTTGCCAGTACCATGCTATTTTTACCACAGTAGCTTTGTAGTATAATTTCAAGTTGGGGATTATGATACCCCTAGCCATATCTCTGTTGCCTAGAATTGCTTTTGCTATTCTAGGTTTCTTCTGATTCCAAATGAATTTTTGGATTGTTTTCTCTAGTTCTGTGAAGTATATTGTTGGAATTTCAATTGGCATTGCATTAAATCTATATAGTAGTTTTGGAAGTATGGCCATTTTCACTATATTGGTTCTTCCTACCCAGGAACAAGGGATATCTTTCCATTTTCTTATATCCTCTTCGATCTCTTTTTTCAGAGTGCTGTACTTTTCAGTATAGAGGTCCTTTGCTTCCTTTGTTAGGTTTATTCCTAGATATTTCATTTTTTTAGATGCTATTGTAAAAGGAATTATTTCCCGAATTTCTCTCTCAATGGGTCTTCTATTTGCATATAAGAAGGCTGTCTTTTTTAAGTGTTGACCTTGTATCCAGCTACTCTGCTGAAGCTGTCAATTAGGTCTAGAAGACTTTTGACTGAGTTTTTTGGGTCTTCTATGTAAAGTATCATATCATCAGCAAACAATGACAGTTTAACTTCTTCCTTTCCTATCTTGATTCCTTTTATTTCTTTCTCTTTTCTAATGCTGTGGCTAATGTTTCCAGAACTATATTGAACAGCAGTGGTGATAGTGGGCATCCTTGTCTTGTTCCTGATTTTAGCATGAAAGTTTTCAGTTTTTGACCATTTAGTATATGATGTTGGCTGTTGGTTTTTCATAAATAGCCTTAATCAGGTTGAGATAAAGACCTTCTATTCTAATTTTCTGTACCGTTTTTATCATGAATGGGTGTTGGATTTTGTCAAATGCCTTTTCTGCATCTATTGAGATGATCATAAAAACCACATCTTCTTTATCCAGTTTCCAGTTGATGAGCACTTGAGCTGTTTCCAAGTTTTAGCTATTACAAACTGTGCCGCTATAAACATGGGTGCACATATACCACTGTGGTATGATTCTTTTAATTCTTTTGGGAAGATACTCACCAGGGGAATAGCTGGGTCAAATGGGACCTCTAGCCCTAGTTCTTTGAGGGATCTCCATACTGATTTCCACAGTGGTTGCACCAGTCAATAAATGTATTCTTCATACGGAATCACAGGCTAGGGAGAAATCCAACCTGGACAGCCATATTCATGGAAATTTTGGTTGGAGGAAGGAAGGGAAAAGAGCTGTAACTGGCGAAGTTCACAGAAAACCAGATTTCAGATAATTATCTTAAGTGACTAGATGATACAGTCTTTACCATGGATGGCTAATCCTAAGAGTAAGCTTCTGGGTGGTCTGAATCGGACTTAAGGGGCAAAACAATTTTTAAAATAGATTGGCTGCTAAAGACATCTAGTTTAATACTATCAAGCTCTAAATAAATTGAATATAAGTTAACCACCCCTTATCTGAAATGCTTGGGACAAAAGAGTTTCCTATTGGAGAATTTTTTGGATTTTGGAATATTTTCATAAACACAATGAAATATCCTGTAGATGGGACCCAAGTTTAAACATGAAGTTCATTTATGTTTTATATGCACATTATATACACAGCCTGAAAGTAATTTTACAAAACATTTTAGTGTGCCTGCACTTTTTTTTTAAACTGTGACCCATCGCATGAAGTCAGGTTTGGAATTTCGGCCTGTGACATCATGTCAGTACTTCCAAAACTCTTGATTTCTGACTTTGAATTAGGGATATCAACTTGCACCAAATACTGGCAACCACAGAGTTAATGAAAACAGAAGGTTCACCTTCAGCTGCTCTCTCCTCCTCGCTTCTTCTTTTTTTCTTCCTGAAGTTCTCTCTATCCCTGCTCAGCCTGCCATCTCTCCACCCTGACTTGGGCTGTTACCTAAGGGGAAAGTCTTCTCTCCCCTTCCCTTCCCTCTTCCCTCCCCACCTGCCTCCCCCTCCTCTTCCTTCCTTTCCTTCTCTCTTTCTCTCTCTCTTTCTTTCTCTCTTTCTTTCTTTCTCTCCTCCTTCTTCTTCCTCCTCTTTTCTTCCTCTCTCTGTCTCTCTTTCTCTCTCTCCAGACCCTTGTCTGTCTCTGTCTCTCTTTCCATCTCTCTCAAAATGTTCCTGTTCTGGACTCCTATTCTATCAGGACCTGCTACCCATAAAAGAATCATCCAGTAAAATAATTTAAGACGTGTTGATAATTCAGTCTTAGACATCTGCCAGGTATTTTGTACTCTGCCTGTAGGCTTAACCCCACCACAAAAGAGAACTGCTGAGATATTCACCAGTAGAAAAGCATTTGTCATTCCTGACAGTAGAAAAGGACATGAAGTTTGGGACATACAGACTCAAAAGAAATCTCCTACTTCCTCTGTTACAGCTGGCATTGATGAGCTAGCCATTCTAAAGCAGAGCTGGGAAAGGAAAGCTAAAACCCATGGGAAGCAGCTCCTTTCCCCATTAGCCCAAGGCAACACAAAATAGCAAAGCTCTGGCCATGAGCCTCTGGTTACCTATCTCCAGTGCTACCCTAAGTGAGCCAGAAAAACAGAACACTCAGGAAGAAACAAAACCTAGTCCATCTTAATGTAACCTTGATAGCTAGTAGGTCATATGTCACCTGTCTGGGGAGAAAAGTCTGACTGAGCGGACAGATTATGCTGGCTGGAAAGGTCACCTTAGTGTAGGTAGTTTGGCAGATGTAGATGCCAAGTTGAGCAAAGGTTTCTCACATAGGGGCACTGCCAAAGTTCACACTGCACAGGACACAAAAACAAGAGACCAAGATGCCTAGCAGCTACTGTGGTTCCACACAGGCAGAAGCAGTGACTACATCTGTATATGGCCAGTCTCTGAGCAGATGGGAGCATCTGCTTAGTGAAGACAGAAATTCTCTTGCTATAGGGTCCAACAGATGTGGCTCCTAGCGGTAAAATGAGCTCCATGTAAAATGCAGAGGATGATTTTATAAATGTGCCCCAAAGCTGGGGAAAGAACAGGAAAGCAGCTTGGGTTTTCTGCCAACCTTCCACTCTGCCTTTGGGGAGGAAGGGACCAGCAGATCTCCTAGAGTCTGCTGGTTTGCTTCTGAAGTGTCAAACTGGCCCAGAGGTATCTGCTGGGCTCTCAGTAGAACATACTTACTGTAATTCTGTCTCCATATGAGGCAAAACATCTGCTTCTTATACTTCACTGAAATCCAAAAGCACTTTTAAGGGTAGAAATACCTCCATTTTCTCCTGCACATGCATGCGTGCACTCACACACACACTCTCTATTACTAAAGAGTTTCAGTCTTGTTTGGAGCAGGATATCTGAGGTAGAAAAGGCTTTCCATGACAATTCCAGAGGAGCCAGCATTGAGACTGACTGCGGACAGGTGAAGGGCAGCGGCTGGGGCCCTGAGAGAGTTAGGTGACAGACAGAAGGCAGTTGAGAGGCCGCTGAGTATCTGGTGCAAGTCCTGAGATTAAGGCTTGACCATATGATACAAAACAGTTCATGATCCCGCATTGCCTTTAAGCACAAAGTGGGGTGCAGGAGATGATCTGTCAGGTGCAAGGAAAGTATTAGAACCTCTACGTATATTTGCTTTTGACTTTCTCCCTTAAGATGGTACGTTTCAGGGCTGGGGATTTAGTTCAGTGGCACCACACATGCCTTGCAAGGTCCTGAGTTTGATCCCTGGTACAAAAAAAAAAAAAAAAAAAAGATGGTGTGCTCCCTAAAGGACATAATACACTTGTTTGGTGGGATATAAACACACTTCATGTGACACATATGTGTGCCCTGGGGTATATGCTCAAACATGAGGAGTGACACTATGTTATTCCCTGAGGTGCAGGTATGGGATGAGACTTGTTTCTTTTCCTCAGACTCCTTTCTCCCCTGAATGGACATTTTACAAGCTCTCAGTTAGACTGCCCCTGAGATACTTCCAAAGCTGTCCCAGTCACTCAGCCCCAAAATGGGATAAGTCTTTGTTATTTGAAGTGACACTATCCTGAGAACAGCATCTGCTGTCTTTGCCAGTATGAAATATGCAGGTTGTCACGGACCTTAAATAGCCTGTCACAAAAAAGTACCACCAAATAGGAAAAAGTAAACAAAACAAAACTATGGGATAGTACAATCACTCACTGGGTAAATAAAGTAGCTCTAGGAAAAGGAGCAGTTGATTCAAAACAATTCAAACACTGGCAAAAGGAGATCAGAAATAGGTGAATAGGTGTAAAGCTCTACATCTTTTTAATAAGTGGGCATAGCATTATTGGAGCCTTTTTTAGGACAAATTTTTTTTCAATGGATTGAGGATTTCACAGCACAATGGGATTTTTTGAAGCTATATTTTCCTTTTTTGTGAACATTCCACTTGAATGCCTAGAAATGAAAACAATTGCTATTTGGCATTTGAATACATAAAGGCAATGTATTATGATCTGTAAATGCATGAAATGCTAATTTAAGACTTCATCTTACCTTTGTAGGAAACACTCTGAAGGTACTCATTAACTTGAGAGGGAGTAAATGAGTTCAGGATCATTAAGAAGTCCAGGTAGGCTTTCCCGTAGTCACTTTGGTATCTGGTCTGCTGCTTCGTGAGTTCTTGATTCCTCATGTAGCTGTGCAGCACGGAGGGGACTGTGGAAACAGAGAAAGAGAGACATAGAGACTGTCACTTGAATGAAGAACTCAGGCCTCTCTTTCTGAATGTGTCCCTGTCACCCTTGAGCCCAGCTTGGAGCTTACTCAGCATCCTTAATCATACTGGAAGCTAAATCATTGTATTAATCTGATTCCTCCAGTAACTAGGGGGTGTGCCTAGCTGCTAAGACTTCCAGACTGTTGCCGCTGGAAGTGGAGGATTGGAGACAACGACCAGAAGGTAGAGTTTGATCACCATGTTCAGAACAGACGTTCTCCCTGAACTCTCCTCATGTGCAGGTCAGTGAGTTAGGATGGTTACATTTACCACCTGCTTACGAAACAGTAGCCTTTATCAGCTTCTTGTTTTTCAGGGTCTCTCCTGTGCAGACTTCAATTGGCCCATTAGATATCCCCTCCCAGTGACCCAGGAGTCTCAGGAGGAGCAGTTTGGAACAATGATGACACTTGACAGCTAGTACTCCATTTTCTATTTAGATTAGTGAGGTAGAAGGTATAAGCAAACCCAAGTCACTTATATTTGATTATGAATATTGTTCATTTAATGTAGATTCCAAGATTCATGGAATTATCATTAAAATATAAAGATGTGATGAAGAAACTAATCTCTACCACTGGCTCAATCTTTATAAACCTTAAGAACTCCTTAACTACTGCTTCCAGTTCCAGGTGTCCTCTTTAAAAGGTTGTTGGCCAAATGGAAGGATCAGATTGATGAAGGGATCTCATACTCCCTAAGAAGAGTGTTTGTAAAGTCTGAAAATGCTTTGACTGGGAAAGAGAGGACTTAGAAGGCATCTGACTAGGTTTTCATAGAATCACACATTTCTACTAGTTAACCTCCCTGGGAAGAAGCAGAGTCACTGGGAAGAAGTTCAGCAGGAATACTCCAGCTGTTAGAATCCCAAAATTGTTGAAATATTGATGATGAAGGAGCTGCCTCAGGGCTTGGGGCACTACCCTGAGGTGCAGAAGCAGAGATGGCGTAGGGTGGAGGCCATTCACATGTGACGTGAGGGCTGTAGACTAGCTAACTTCTGGGCTACCTTCTAACACCATTCCACTACTACCTGATTCCAGCTCTCTGCCAGGAGTAAAACACATCTCAGATTGATACTGAGTTATCTTCTTTGGAGATTCCTTGGTTATGGAACTTCTAAAACCTTCCTGTTGAAAACAGCAGGAACCAGAATCTTAAAAGAATGAATGCTAAATCTGAAAACGTTTGAGGCTGCGTGCCATGAGCATACACTTCCAATGAATAACTACATCTCATATGATTCCTACCCAGTCGTTTATTGGTCATTTTATAGCAACTGCACCTTCCTTCTATTTTATAAACCATTGCTCCTCCTAGGTAAACTCAGGTCACCAAGCAGTGTTTTGTTTCATTGTTGTTGTTGTTTGTTTTTTGTTTTTTGAGACAGGGTCTGGCTATGTAGTTTAGTCTGGCCTTGAACTCACTGCGTATCCTAGGCTGGCCTCAAACTCACAACAATCCTCCTGCCTCAGCCTCCTGAATGCTGGAATTACAGCCATGAGCCACCATGTCTGGCTTGCAGTCTTCTGAGATGCCCGGTCCCCAAGGCTTGAGGTGTGGAGCCACAGAAGTAAGGCTCCTGTTACATGTCCAAAACACTGGCCTTCCCATGACCACTGTCGAAACTGGCTTCCGGGACTCTCATTAAGGAAAACTCTTGAAGCAAGGGGATAGTGAAATTGAGACAGCAAATGGCAACTGCCCTGTTTCCAAAATCTTTTGCACAAGGTGTTTTCAGGACACAGGGGCAGACCTTGAGAGCCAGGCAGAGCCAAGTCACCCCTAAGTTGAACCTAAAGAAAGAGGACAGGACCTCGAGGACCTCTATTAGAAGCAAAAGCGGCTGTCAACAACTGCAGGATGGACCAAGATAACTGAGGGATTGGAAACTGCAAATCACACAGCATCACACCTTCTGACAGGCCAGTGTAAACAGTGAGGACTGTTGACCGGTTATAGACAATGAGCCCTTCAATAACTCTCACCCTGCGCCCTTCCATTGATTCATTTGCTACCTACATGGGCACATGTAGACTGAGCTGAGCTAGTCCCCTGCCTCCTTGTTCACTGACCTACAAGGAAGCTAGCTTATCTATCTATCTATCTGACATCTATTTTCTTTCTTTCCTTTCTCTTCTTTTCTTTTTTCTTTCCTCTCTTTCTTTCTCTTGCCCCTCCCTTCTTTCTTTCTCTTTCTTTTTTCCTTTCTTTCTTTCCTTCTTCCTTTCTTTTCTTTTCTTTCCTTTCTTTTTTCTTTCTTTCTTTCCTTCTTTCTTTTCTTTGCTTTCTTTCTTTCTTTCTTTCTTTCTTTCTTTCTTTCTTTCTTTCTTTCTTTCTTGCTCTACTTGGGGTTGAACCAGGCCTCACACTTTCTAGCCAAAAGCTCTGCCACTGACCTGCATACCCAGCCCCTCTTTGTAAAAATTGAAGCCATAATATTGGCTTCTGTGTATCAGGCAGTGAGCCCCTGCTAGGTGGGTATCAGTAGAATCTACAAAGTTGTTTAAATACTAAATGTGTACTCACCTAGACCCTGAGAAGCAATTGGCAGTCTTGAGAAGCATCCATATTTGAAACTAAAATCCTGCAACTCTGGAATTTTAGCTGGAATTTGATAATTCTGTCGAAATTCAGTGTCTAGAGGTCGGGGAAGGAACTTTTTCCATTCCAGGGACACCTGAGAACTTTGCTTAATCTCCTGAGCTACAGTGAGAGTGGAAAACAAAGGCAGTGTAGTTACTCCCTCCCAGTAAGCCATTTCTGAGTAGCATTTTACCATTTGCTTCTGGTGGTGAGAGGGGGGCAGAGAGGTTTGGGGTACGGCTAGGATTGCCACATAAAACAAAAGATGCCCAGTTAAATTTGAACTGCAGACAAACAATGAGCAATTTCTAGCATGAGTATGTATAAGTATCTATTAGCTGCTAGTCAACCTGTGTCTGAATTTGCATAGCCTGGCAGCCCTAGATGGCACGGTGTGCATCATCCCTATTACTTGGAAAAGAATCATTCAAAGCTTATCTTATACTGATGGAGGGTTAGGTAACACCATTGTCATTAGGGAATAACAACATGATTGTTTCTTTGAACCATCTCTGCTAAAAATATTCATTAAATATATTATCATTAAATATCTGTGAAGCACTAATTAAACACAGGTTCTACAAACACTGCCAGATTACTCAGCACATCATAAGCCATCTCAGAATATTCTTGCTGCAAAACCTGAATTCAGACACCTATAGCATCATCCTATTCAGAAGGACAGAAGTTAATAACATGGGTTTAATAAGCAGTGTCCAAACAGTGCAAATTAATATTGACACAACTCAATTTTCTTCCAATTAGTTTTTCAATCGATCTTTTTCAGAAGCAAATTCTAATAGACATTGTATATCAAAAGATTCATAATAGCATGTATTGGTATACATAGTATATCAAAGGATACTTAATTGCATCTACCAGCACTGGAGAATATTTTAATATTGATTTTTTAAAATGATCTATCTAGACCAGCAGAGGAGGTGTGCATTCCACCACATGCTGCCTGTTTCTTTAGATTACTCAGGAGATGAGGATCCAAATGCTTACTGGCCGCAGAATGACCTCAGAAACTGCCCATGAAGATATTTTGGAAATTCATCTGGTATTGTTCCTAATAACTTGCACCCCTAACTTGGTTTTTGTCATTAATCAATAGTTTTATAAGAGAAAAACAAATTTCTGTTGAAATATAGGACACATGTCTCTCCTCCCCTAGAGCAGCCACTAAATAGCATATGTTTTCATTTCCTGGGTGTGTTCTGTGCTATTAATAATCACATCTTTGTTCTGCCTTCAGACAACCCCAAACTATTGTGATTAGAAAGAGATGTGGATTGTGGTGAGTCTGACAACCATCACACCAGAAACTGGTTTTCACATGGAGTTAAGAAGCAGAATCACCTGGAAAGTTTCTAAAAATATATTTATATCTATATCTGTATCTATATCTATATCTATATCAGTATCTATATAGATATACATGATGAACCTCATCCCAGACATTAAGGCTCTTGAGAAGTGGAGACCCCAGGTGCTCATACTGTGAACAAACTTCCCATGTGCTTAAGAATCACTGACTAAGAGCCTTGAATAAGGTGTTACAGAAGCCTAGAGTGTGCGAGGTTAGGGGAAGAAGAGGAGACAAGAGCCATAGTGAAGGGCTTTGATGATAGCTCAACACAGAAGCAAAATGTGTGCCCATGAAATGTGGCTCGTGGACCATGGGGTACATAGGACAAGAAGGAATAGTTGAAGGTGAAACAGGAGAGATGAGCTGGGACCCGGCTGGTAAGGATCTTGAATGGGATTATTGAAGATGAAGACACAGAAAAGACCTTAAACGTTTCTTAAGTTCTTACGAAGACAAAGAGTAAGCCTTATTCTTCATTAATCCTCTGTACTTATCACAGTAATAGACTTTGTGAAATATTTACTATGTTCATGAGTGAACAACAGCAAAAACAACTAGAAATATAATTCCTATAGATTAGCAGTTAATATCTGAATCACATTCTGGTGACTGCCTAGGTGAATATATGCGGAGGGTAACCCTTAGTCAATGGTATAATGTTTATACATAGTGTGTGTTTAGTTTTTCTCAACTGATGTCTTTATAAAATTTCATGTTGCGGAGCTCCTTCAGGCATCACTATGAAGGGTAGACTCTTCAACCCACACCTGAGATCCCTATCCTAGTGCTGAAGTATGGCAGATAAGATAACATGATCCAGAGCTCAGCTGACCCAACCCCTGGGTCCCACCCAGGGGTCATCCCTGCTCAACTCCCCTGGTTTCTTTCCCATTGAAATTGTTATACTGTACTAGTAAGTTAGCCTAAAGAATAAAATTGGCCCCTTTAAGTTGGAATAGGGCTCTTCAGAAAAGCTCAATCCAAAAGGACCATTTGAAACTACTAGGACCATTGGCACATGGTCTGTAACAAAGAGAGAACTGATTCTACTGTTTTCACCAGCTGTTCTGTTTCATCAAAACCAAATTCTCCAAGCCTGAATGTGAAAACAGCCCTTTTAGTGCTTCTCATTCATTCACATTAATTCAATAATAAAGATAAAAAGCTAAGATGTGGTCACTCTTCTTCAGAAGCTTCAACTATTACAGAAACACATACAAATAAAATCATGACAATATTACGTGATAAATCCTGCAAAAGAGGTTAGAATTGGAGGGGCTACAAAAACACATAGGGAACCATCAACCCAAAGTTTGGGATCAGAGAAGCCTAGATCTAGAATGAAGTGATAGGTCACCATAGGCCAAAAGAAAAAATGGAGAGGCATTTTATACAGGAGGAAGCAAGGCGTGCAGACAGGGGGAGACCGCAGAGGGCATGGTGAATCTACAGAATGGGCAACAATGCCGTCTCTCCAGGCAGGTAGTGGCAGGCTGGGAAGAAGCCTGGAGGCAAAGGGTAGATGATACAAGTAATACAGCCAAGACACTTAGCTTTTATCCTGAGGACAACAGGAAGTCTCTTAAGGGTTTTAAGCTAGAAGTGATATTAATTTGCACAGCCAGAAACTATGACTATAGTGTAGACAGTAGATTAGAGGGGACAAAAGTAGAAGAGAGAGTTGGATTGGAGGTCATCCAAAGAGAGATATTGGTAGCCTGAACTAATAGGCTAGGGATGCGGGGAGGGATAGAAGCAGATGGATTTGAGAGATTTAGGAGGGAATCTTGACAGGTCCTAGGTATTTACCTGCACACAGGGAAATGTTAATTTGCTTATGCTGAATGGAGAACTTTGATTAGAAACTCAAGGACATCTTTTAAGAATGCTGATATTTCAAATGTTTTCTCATAACCCTTAATGTTTATCTGCAGGAATAGAAATCTTTTAATCCCATGCCCACCCAGCTTCAAAGAGTACTTTCCACACATTCCGTCATTCAACAAATATTTCCTGGACTTTTTCTACTGGGCTCTGAGGGGATAAAGGCCTTAAAGGAACTTACAGAATAGTAGAGGAAAGCATAAAACAGAAACAACAGAAGACAAGTGTCAGTAACAAATGATTTCAAAGTACAAATTCTAGATGCAATGGGATGATGGCACAATTCTCCAGATAAAATAGTATGAAAAGACCTACCAGGGAAGGTGACATTGAAACTGAGGTCTACAGAATGACCAAGCAAAGGCACAGGAAGATATCTGGGGAGGACCATTATAGGAAAAAATGGGCACTGGCAAAAGGCAGGGAAAAGGTAGGCATCTTACAGGAACTAAAGTGAGACCCATGAGGCTGGAGCCCCAGGAATGAGGAAGATGAAATACGGAGGTCACAAGGACCAACTAAACAGAACCTTAGGAACCCACAGAATTTGGATTTTATGCAAAGTGCAATAGGAAGCTAGTAAAAGAAAGCAATAGAATAATGTAATCCAAGACTGGCATGGTAGCACATGCCTATAGTGCCAGCAATCTCCCCCCTTGTTCTTGACTGGCTAATTTCTCTTCATGCTTCAGGCATGGGAAGGGAAGCCCTTTCTGAGCTCTACCCTCACGCCTACACATTAGGCTAGATACTCTATTCTGTTCCCATAGCAACCTGAATTTGTTTTTACAATGTGCACCTTTTTATACTTGAATGATTTTGTTTGTGAAATTTCCTGTTTTGTGTCTAGACTGTGAGTTTCTACAGGGCAGAGACCACATCCATGTTGCTGGCCACTGCAACAGCAGAGCCAAGCACATGACCAGGGGAAGGAGAAAAGCAAGCCTGTTTACCTTTGGTGTGGTCCAGAAAGTCTCTCTTAGTACAAGAAATAAACTGATCTGCAATTGCCTTCTGAATTTCTTCCATGGAAGCAGGAATTTTCCAAGGGAGGCAGCTTCTTGGTGTCATCACTGAATCCCCTTTAGGTAATGTCCATTGAAGTCCCTAACATTACAAATAAAGTTTTTCAGAGAATCCATACAGGTTCACCTAATGAACTGAAGGAGATGAATACCTGTGTACATACTCTTTGGAATCCTTACATCTAGCTACAACACTGCAGTTGCCTGTGTGTTGGGGGAGTTTGTGGACAGCACCCGATGGTTTACCTGTCTGTAACACAGGTCCTGAATGCATTACTCTGACCTTTTACATTCAAGACGAGAAAATGGGATTGGAAACTCCAAAGACTTGTGCTTCTAACCAGACTACTCCTACAGACAAGATCAGAGGAGAAAACCCAGGCTATTCACATCTTCTTAAGCAGCAGAGACAGTAGCTGCTTTCCACTTGGGAGCCCCAGAGAGAAGCCCTTGGGAGACATCATGAACAGCCGGCACTGTCTCTGCCTTGCCACCAAAGAGATTCAAGCATCATACAACTTGAAACCTCCCCACCTCTTTTCATCTTCCCTCTCTTATGACCATGCTTCCTATCTGCCTCAAAAATGGAAACCACCAGCAAAGACATGATACAACTTTCCTCACCACCTCCCAGCACTGTACCTTCACTCCCATCTGCTGTGCCAAAAGGGAAGCTAAGGCACTCCCCACACCTGTCCCCTAGATCTGCTCTAGATATTACTCCAACAATCTCACTTCTCTCCTGCAACTTTAATTTCTCTCTCTGCTGAATCATTGCAATCAGCAAAGCAAGCATCCCTTTATTACTCCTGTGCCACAAAGAAAACCCTCACTTCACCCTGCTTCCCTCTCCAGGTTACTAAGATATTTCTCAATTTCCCTTCACATTGAAATCCCTCAAAGCAATATGTGCGTTCACTGTCCCAAATTTATCTTTCAAGTGTCTTTTAATATTCAGGTTCTCTTTCAGTCCCCCCTTTCCCTTATAATTTATCTGCTAAAATAACAAATGTGAAGATAATGTGTCTGTTGAAGAAGCCCTTTGATGCATAGAGGTTCTCAATCCGGCTTTTGTTGATTGCGTGCTCATTGGGCTATTTACACATCTCTGCCCACAGGACTCAAACTCAGGGTAGATCCCTTACATAGACTGTAAGTGGTGTTTGGCAAGACTGCAGGAGGAAGGAGTACAATAATAATAATGCCATTATTATTGTTTCTCTGTTTGATGGTAGCAGTTGCAGAGATTCAATGCCTAGATTAATAGGGTTTGCCGGTTCAACACTCATTGGCTGAAAGCACAATGGACATTACACTATACCAGCTCTGATTGAGCCCCTTTAATAGGTTGTGAAGGAAGGAAAACTTATGCCTGTGAGTTATGTACAAGAGGTGATCAAAATATGCAGTGTGTGCTAAATAATGAAAATTTATTGGAGTAAAAGACACATTGTCATTAATCCTACTCAAAACTCTCCCACTTGCTTCAAATGCTCTTATCTCATAATTCTTGCCACAAATACCTGTATATAGCCTTCATAGCAGCATTATTTAAAACAACCAAAAGGTGGAGTCAACTCAAATATCCATCAACAGAAGATAAATGTGCTACAGTGTTGACATACAGTATTACTCAATCATGCTATCATCGCATGCTCAATCATGCTATGTTGATTGATTACTCAACTTGCTACCTCCTAGGGAACCTGAAAAACATTATGTTAAGTGAAAAAAGCCCAATATAAAAGTTACTTAGTTGAATGATTCCATATATAAAATATCCAGAATAGGTAAGCCATATAGAAAGCAGATTGGTGGTCCCCAGGAGCAGTGGGCCAGGGGAGTGGGGAATAATGGTTTAATGATTACTGTGTTTCCTTCTAGGATGATTAAAACATTTTGCAACAAGATAGAGATGATGGGGCCAGGGATTTAGCTCAGTGGTTCCAGCTCCTGCCTCACAAGTGCAAGGTCCCAAGTTCAATCCTTGGTACCAAAAAAAAAAAAAAGATAGAGATGATGGTTCCACAATAAAATATATTAAATGGCAGTGAATTGTTCACATTTAAATAGTTAATTTTATATCAATTTCACTTCAATAAAAAAATCTTTAGAAACCTAGGGGACATAGAAATGTTTAGAAAGAAATGGAAGACATTCGGCAAAAATAGTAGAAGAGGGACTGTGTATCCCATGACAATAGAAGATGAAGAGTTTTTGCAGCATATTAAAACTCGTTCTTATCAACCCATTCTTATGGATTGTTGGTACAGTATTCAATTCTATAGATATGTAGATATTATCTTACTTGATTGGGATGTGATTTGTAGCTCTTCATTTCTCGTGAAGTCTCATTTTTTATCAAATTTCCTTTAGAGTATGATTTCCAAATATATTCATCATTGTACTGGGTCTGATTAAGAGTAGAATCACTAAGAGAGTATGTATATCCTAATCTTTTGATACTTTTTTGACTGAAAAAACAAAACAAATTTGAGTGAGGTTTTAGATGCCAAATCTCTCAATGATAAGTATAGCAAAACATTTTACTTGCTATATTTAAAGATTGGCTGGTTGAAGACTTGATGCCAGATATAATTAATATATAGATTCCCTTGATAAGAAACAGTCTTATAACTTAGGGATAGCTCATAATAAAAGCATGGGGGCCTAAAATAAAGTTTAGAAGAATAACAATCAGAAATTTATTTTATTAATTTTTTAAAGAGCTGGATATTTTTTTTTTTTTTAGTACCAGGGATTGAACTCAGGACCTTGAGCTTACATGGCAGGAGGTGGAACCACTGAGCTAAATCCCTGGCCCAGAGCTGGATATTCTTGTGCACAGAATATTTCAGGGTAATCAAGAAGTTGTGGACAAGAGTTTCTATTTTTGTCTTGTCACTATTTTCTTTTTTATTAGTATATGTTTGTGATACAAAATAATTACATTCACCTTGGAACTTTCCCTTTTTACATTTATTTCAGTTGATTAAAAAGAAGAAAAAATACTAATTAAGATTTAAGTGGTTTGCCTGGCCCTAATAAATTATACACCTGGACAAATGGCCATGTCACCCAAATGTATCTGTGACAATCAACAGATTATCATAGCAGGGTTATAGCTATGGATTCATTGATTATTCCTTTGTGTATGTTTAAAATAGTTCATGTTGACTTTTTCTTAAAAAAAGAAGGCTGGGTAGTTTCACACTGTCTTCAAAAGGAACAAATATCTGGAAGTCAGACATATTTGGGCAACAGGCTATTTTTACTGTCATTCATATATAAACTTTTTGAAAGGAGAACAGCACAAATAGCTTTAAATGAATTAATTTTCAGATCTCAACTTCTCAATATGTATGCTTTTTTCTAAACCATATCTACCTGAGAAAAAACTTGTGTATTTGTGCAGATCTTTCTTTTTTTTTTTTTCCTTCTTTTTTTTTTTTTTTGGTACCTGGGATCGAACTCAGGACCTTGTGCTTTCAAGGAAGGCACCAGAACCACTGAGCTAAAAATCCCCAGCCCAATCATTCCTTTCTTTTCTACAGTCTTTTTAGGATTCTCCCTTCCCCATGTTATCACAGGATTTTGGCAGGGACTCCAAGGATCAAGGAATGAAACCCAAGAGGACACTGTACTACTAAGCTACATTCCCCAGACCTTTTCTTTTGAAGTAGTTTCTCCCTAAGTTCCTGAGTTGCCAAAGGTGGGCTTGAACTTGCAATCCTCCTGCCTCAGCCTCCCCAGTAACTGGGGTTACAGTTGTGCGCCACCATGCTGAACTACCACAGGATCTTTTTATGGTTCATTGCCTTGGAACATTTGCCTTAAAGCCCAATAAGGGTGCCCAAGAAGGGAAACTTGGTCAGAGTGAGTTCAGGGAAATCTTGTTGTTCAAGCTCCATGCACTTGCCCAGGGCTGCTTGTTCTTTGTGTCTGAGAGTTTCTGCAAAGTGAGAGATGGTAGCTGAGAGTGATGTCTGGTTTTCCATCTCCTAACAATTACCAAATGTTCATTTGTCTTTAGGGAGAGGCCTCTCAGAGGACAGCAGGGAATGCAGAGTGCTTAAATTGGCTCTTTCTGTACATATTTTCAGCTTCAAAAAAATCCTTAGGCGGTGTCTTCAGTTGAATAGAAATGTGTGTCTGAGGAGGGGAAGCAGTGCAAGATGTGATGAAGATTGCTTTAAATATAACTACAATCTTTTCTGGGACACCACATTTTTCAAGATTGCTGGATAAAGCTGGTAGATAAAAATCTTGCGTTTTTTTCAGATTTCATATTCATCATTATTAAGGTATTTAAATTTTATGTTTTAATCCTATTATATTATGAAATATTTATTTCACTACAGCCAATCTTCATTGCCAACAAAATATTTGACAATAAAAAAGCATATGTGGCTTACAAGATCAACTAAATTTCACTCTACTGTATATAACTTTCTTTCATTAAATGAATAGGTAATGTTTGATTTGATATCTAAATTGTTCCTGAGTTTTATATATGATTATTTTTTAATTATTCCCCAAAGTTAAGTACAAAAGAATTCTATTTACATGAGAAACTATCTAAGGAAAAATCATATTTTTCTCACACTCACTTCACAGGTAATTTAGACATTTCATTGCATTATTTTTATATAAATTGAATTGTATCAGACTTGAATCTTTTTACATTGCCCTGCTCTACATTTAATAATCGTCCATAAAATATGTACCTATAATCTATTTTTTCAGTAGCTTTCATAATATTCTTCAAAATATTCTTATTTTTTTTTTTTTTTTTTTTGGTACCAGGGATCGAACTCAGGTCCTCGCGCTTGTGCAGCAGGCAGCGAAACCACTGAGCTAAATCCCCGGCCCATTCTTCAAAATATTAACATTCATTTGGACTGAAAGTGTAGGTAGGTTTTATTTTGACAGGAAATAAACTTAATTATGAACAAAATATACCATTAGTGTTTAAATTTAAAAACTTTATTACACTAAACAACACACTGTCATTAATTGCCTCAAAATATTTCCTCTTGCTTCAAACACACTTATTCTACCATTCTTTCCACTTTCTGAAGCAGTTCTGAAAGTCCTCTTCTGTAAGTGTCTTTATGAGATATGATAAAAAAAAATACAATGAATGCTGCTGCTGAGTGCCATCCAACAGAAAGCCAGGCTTTTAGAAATATTATGGTGGGGCCGGGGATTTAGCTCAGTGGTTTTGACACCTGCTGTGCAAGTGCAAGGACCTGAGCTCGATCCCCGGTAACAAAAAAAAAAACAAAA